CGCCCACAAGTTTCGAAATATTTGACATTATGGTGACACACCGTTTTGACTCTTAAGTTAGGCTCGTGTAGAATGCTTTTGTACAGATAGATAGCGCGATCATCCTTGAACGTTACATATGCTTCATAACACCCACAAGTTTCGAAATATTATGAACTTCTCATATATTTACTTACCCATGTTCATTTTATATGCTTCAAACCTTCTTGGAAGTTTATTATCATCACTCGAACTTGCCTGCAACAATGACAGGCTTGTATGAAGGCGGAGTTTGGAAGATCCACGTCGAACTCCCCGATGCGTATCCATACAAGTCCCCGTCTATTGGGTTCGTGAACAAGATATATCATCCAAACGTCGATGAACTGTGAGCAAACTAGACCTCACATATTATGGCTCTCAATATCTTTAAGATTCTCATGTTGTCACTGTACTTGCAGATCTGGTTCTGTGTGCTTGGATGTGATTAACCAAACTTGGAGTCCAATGTTTGGTAACTTTAGAACAATTGCCATTCTACTTATTTTCTAGCTCAAAATCTGACATGAATGCTGACTGACATGTTTTTTTTTTTTTTTTTTTTACTTCTTTTCTGTTGTATACTTCCATTTTTCAGACCTATTGAATGTTTTTGAAGTTTTCCTTCCACAGCTTTTGCTCTATCCCAATCCTTCAGACCCGCTTAATGGTGACGCAGCGTCTTTAATGTTAAAAGACAGGAACCAGTACGATAAAAAGGTCAAAGGTATGAATTTCTTTTGCGAAGTATAGAACGAATGTTGTGTCATGATAGTATCATATCGTGTTCGTAAATGAACGTTGCTTCTTTTGGTATGTGTATACTTGGTATTGTTGAATATGTAGCTCCTCCATTAGGGGTATCAACTCCCCATATACAATATTGGTTCGGGACCTATAGATTTGCGTCGTTTTAGTCCTGAAACTGTAAATTCTATACAGTGTGATCTTGGGTTTTGCATAATAGTGTCTCTACTTTTACGTGGGTTGTTTGTTTGGCATGACTCCTCCATTAGGGGTATCGACTCCCCGTGTACAATATTTGTTCGGAACCTATAGATTTGCATTGTTTTAGTCCTAAAACTGTAAATTCTCTACAATGTGATCTCGAGTTTTGCATAATAGTGTCTCTACTTTTACGTGTGTTGTTTGTTTGGTACGACAGAGTACTGTGAACGCTACGCGAAAAGGGAAAATGTGGTGAATGCGAGCGCGGAAGATGAGAGTGAAGAGGAAGTAAGTGATGAGGAAAGTGATTCGAGTGAGAATGATAATGATATTGCTGGTCATGTTGATCTGTAAGGGCCGTACTAGATTCACATTATCTATGCCTCACTTGCACAAAAAGACATGGAATTGAACTGTTCCATCCACATGGCTTGTTGTTTGTAATGAAACAATGTTGTTGGTTGGTGTTGGTATGTCACAATTAGGATGTAAAATTATGAATGCTTTTCATGTTTTGTGGTAAGTGGAAGTACACATAGCTGTTGTTGAAATGTTTCATGGCTCTACTTTGCTTTTCTTTTATATAAATTTTGAAGAAAAGGTTTAGTTTTTTTTGGTTCGAACGAGTATTTTTATTTTTTATTTTTTAGTTTTAGTTTTATTTACGTGTACTATTGATATTAAAACTTTTGAAAGTTCAAGGGTATATCGACTTTGGTAGCAATCTTTTGTACATGAGGTCCCAAATAATGAACACTATTAGGAACTTGTAAATAGATCATCTACTCTTCGTTGTCGATCCGTTGTCGATTTGTTAGTCAGCATGGGACTTGAATCATGGACATGTTTACTAATTTCATTTCTAGATGCTTATTTGACTATGATACCAATTGACATCGTAGTTACTCTAACTCTTAAGCAAATTAAGCAAGTTGGAGAACTCAGGCTTGAATTCTTGGTGGCACAAATGACTTATCTCATAGTCCTTACCTTATTCTTAGAAAACAAGGTTAGAGAGTGTTTTGGAAAACATTTTTTTAGAAGTAAACGTTATATGCTAGTAAGTAGTAAGAGAAACGTCACAAGTAATATATAACTCAAGTAGGAAGATTTGACAATTAATTTTAATCTTAAATTAACTTTGGTAGGTGTAAACGTTAAAAGTGTCAAGGAGTCATATACCAACAAAATTACAAGAAAGGTAAATAACTCAGCTAGAATATAATACATACAATAAAAATAAGGTAAACGGTTTAGAATGGATATACATGTAGGGGCAACCCGCTCTGGACAAGCATGACCATGCCACTTATATATGGTCAAAAATGATTGCCCATTATTTGCCACTCCATGGAGGAACGTGTATTCAAGCTCGACCTCCATGACTTTTGGCGAGATTCTTCTCGAACTTCTAGTGGGGAAAGTGGTTTAGAGCAAAGGGTTGGATATCGATATAGCTACGTAGGTTCAATTGGTGGTGAGGGAGGAATGGACAGTGGAAGTGATCCACGAAGCACTCATTTCAGAGGGAGGGTACGAAGAGTGAATGGAGTCTAATTCAACAAGAACAGGGCAATGGTCGGTTGGTACAAGAATCTTAAGCCCTTCAAGAATTGCAGCCAAATCCATAACTTTGATCTTCCAAGTGCTACAGGTTTCCTTTTGTTCGACTTTTGAAACAATCCTAGGTCCCTCGACCTGTTTCGCTATCCATGAAGCGTCAATATTTAGCTTCCAGTGACCTGTTGGGGGCCGTTGCCATGTCGTGGTCGCTTTTGCCATGGCTTCATGTTGTAAAGGTTGCCTTCCTTGCTGTGGCATCACTACACATCCGGGAGTTGGTTAGGAAATGAGTTTTAATGAGAATGGGGGTAGGTTGGGCTACCTGAAAAATGATTGATTTCTATTACGCTCCATTGTTCCCTGTGACACGAAAAAGCACAAGCGTTAGCATGGTGCATCTTGGAAGAGCTATTTGTTAAGGTAGCTTGTAAAGAGGGAGATAGCATGTGAGAGAGAAATTTACATCAAATATTTACATTTATCGGTAATAGTTTGTGTAATAGCCTAAGTCCACCACGAGCAGATATTATCCTCTTTGAACTTTTGCTTTCGAGCTTTCCCTCAAGGTTTTTAAAACGTGTCTACTAGGGAGAGTTTTCCACACCCTTGAAAAGAATATTTCGTTCTCCTTCCTAACCGACGTGGGATCTCACAATCCATCCCCCTTTGGGATCCAGCGTCCTCGCTAGTACTCATTCCCTTCTCCAATCAATGTGGGATCTCCCAAACCACCCCCTTTCGGAGCTCAGCCTCCTCGCTAACACGTTGCCCAGTGTCTGGTTCTGATATCATTTGTAACGGCCCAAGCCCATCGCTAGCAAATATTGTCCTTTTTGGGTTTTTCCATTCGAGTTTCCCCTAAAAGTTTTTAAAATGCATCTGCAAGGGAAATGTTTTCACATCTTTATAAAGAATATTTCGTTCTCCTCCCCAACCGATGTGAGATCTCACAATGTGGATGGATTTGATTACAGAACAGCATGAACACCAAGATACAATATTTAATATAGATCATATTCATTAGAAAAAGAAGCATGAACACCAAAAAGTTTCGAAAAAAGAGAAAAGGTATGAGCACCAAAAAGACCAGATTGCAAGGCATCAAGGTCACGTCCAAATCATTATATTTCTACAGCACAATGATCTTTTCTTCTCCAAAGAAGCACAAAAGAAATAATTATTTCTTTGAAATAAAGAAGTTTGACCTCTTAATTCTCACAAGATTTCTACCATCAAGTCCACATAAAAGCCAAAAGTTCAGACAAATGTGGGGCGAACATATTTAAGAATCCCAAGAAACAAATAAAACCCTTTTCAACTAAGCTACACCCTTTCTCTCTAGTATACATATACATGTCAATAATTTATCGAATGGGTCTTTTGTTCTATAACATGATTCGTTCGCTTTAACTTTAAGTACACATAATTTCACTTTAGAATTCTACCAAAAGATTTTACATCAGTATATCTACGAGTGTCTATGGCTTGAACTCATTCCCTTTAAGCTCTCTGTTATTTACATGGTCCCCGTTAACTACCAAGTCAACCCGAGGTGACTATGGCTTGAACCCATTCCCTTTAAGCTCTCTGTTATTTACATGGTTCCAGTTAACTACTAAGTCAACCCGAGGGCGGTTTACTATCGAGATGTTTTTTGTTTATATATCCAAAATATTCTCCAAGGGTGTTATGTTACAGAAGGCGCATGGTGATGGGTGTATGAATGGTCATAATCAAAGAGGATATTTTGAAGGCCATGCGTGCAAGGAAAAGGCAGCGAAGACCCCACATATCACCCATTTCTCTAAGCCCTTCATTTTATTCCTTTGTCATATTGGTTGAGTTTTAGTGACAAATCAAGCAAAATTCTTCTGTTCTATACGATACTTTCAGATCTCTGTTCTGCCCACATTTATCTTTCTGTGGTCTGGTCACTCTCCTCTTTGAACCTATTCATTCCTAATTATCCCTTTAGGACCATGTCTTTGTTAGTTTTTCACTGTCTCATATCACATGGAAATCAAAGTAACTTTAGATTCATCTTCTAAGTTAATGATGTCGCCACCATTAGTGGAAAGAATGCTGTGGTTAGCAGGCTATTAGACAGGGAAAACTCATCATTGAAGGCTGATAAATAAAGAGAAAACAGGCTCCTGTGGGTAATCGAGTTGCTATATTAATGGTGGACCTCCTCTAAACTCACACACATCACATTTTCTTCACACATCCATACCTTTTTCAGCAATTTCCTAACCAAAATCTTTGACATTCAAGGAAACAGGGTAAAGAAAAAGACTCCCAAATATCATGTTTTTGTTGAGAGCAGGTGAAAGAAAGTGTACCTTGTAATAGTTTGGTAGAAAATGGGCCTTCAAATTTGGGAGTTGTTTTGTTGAAATGTATGAAATTCCTCTAGTCTCTTCAATCACTGTAGGGCTCAACTGCCACTTTGATGGCCAATCTCAGCCTTACCCACCTTGGCTTTCACACTAAAACAAAGCCAATCAAATCCCAACCCTCTTCCTCTTGTTCTGTGGCGCATAAACAATGGAAATCTGCAGACCCATCTTCACCAGCCAAAGAATACCTTAGTCTTTTAATGGCTTCCTTCATTTTCTGCACCAAATGGTAGGTTAGGTACAATGCAACCTTCTTCAGCATAAGATTATATCATCTTTCTCTATCTCTTTCAGCTTTTTTTCGATCAAAAAGCAGAAAGTTCATCATCCATTACCTGGAACAAAGAAAAGGGAATGTTATTGAGTATTATATCTCCTGAGATGTCAAGATTTTCAAATGAAATGATGCAAAAAGATGGTAATCTGATATACCCATCTCCTCTTTCACCTTTTGATGTTGGCACTGATCCAATATCGAATGATTCTGTACCATCGTCTTCTTCTTCTTCTTCTTCTTCTTCTTCTTCTTCTTCTTTCAGCCGCATCAGCCCAATTCTTCTTCTAGTTATAGTAATTCTAGCAGTCATCTTCTTCATCTCTGGTTTACTCCATTTGCTCGTTCGATTTCTGCTGAAAAGATCTTCCCCGTCAATCTACCATCACTCCAATCGATACACAGAAAGGCCTGGCTCTCACACACTCCAAAGACAGCTCCAGCAGCTCTTTCGCCTTCACGATTCAGGCCTCGATCAATCCTTCATCGACGCTTTGCCAGTGTTCTTGTACAGAGATATTGTGGATTTGAAAGAGCCGTTCGATTGCGCCGTTTGTCTCAACGAGTTTTCCTATCACGACAGGCTGAGATCGCTTCCCATCTGCAGCCATGCTTTTCATATCAATTGCATAGATACATGGCTGCTATCGAACTCCACTTGCCCTCTCTGCAGAGCCTCTCTTTTGAGCTCTAATTTTCCTCTCGAAAACCCTAATTTGGACGAGATTTTAGGGCGCGGAAACGGTTCTCACAGGCAACCAGAAAATCCCCTTTCTGGAAATCATCAGAAACGAGTAACAACAACAATCGATGAATCTTCAAGGGAAATGAGAGTTTTCTCAGTGAGACTCGGAAAATTCAAAAAAATAAACAGCGAAGAAGAACAAGAACACGAAGAACAAACAGAAGAGGAAGGAGAAAGCAGCAACCAAAATCACCTAAACGCGAGAAGATGTTATTCAATGGGGACTTACCAATACGTCGTTGGAGATTCAGATTTACAGGTGATGAAGGAGAAATTAAACCCTGCAATCTTCCAGGGAAACGGAGAGGTTGAAGGTAAGAAAATCAGTGGGAGAAGTAACGGGGAAAGTTTCTCGGTGTCGAAGATTTGGCAATGGTCGAAGAAGAGTGGATTGCCGATTCCGAGCAGCTCGAACAATCAATGGAGGCCGGAATTCGTCTGAAATCTTCTTGGATTTGATCGATATCAATTGAACTTGGATTGTATCAGAGAAATGAGATCAAAATGATTTGTTTCTTCGATATTGCTTGGAACTTGGTTTCCTGAGAGAGTGAACGTTTTCAAAATTTGAAGCTTCAAAGTGTTTTTCAAAATGATCGTCTCTCAGTCCGCCATGTGTGGAAACCTTCGCGATCACGATCAAGAATTTGCGCAACAGAACATGAAGAAGATGGAGTATAATTACTGGAATTTTATAAGAGGTGAAAATTTAAATACTTTATTTGTGTTGATTTTATATTTTTTATTTTAAACTTTGCATAAAAAGGCTGATTTTTGGTATTAATTTCTAGATTTTTTTAAGTAAAAAATTAGAAGGCTGCTACATGTAATCCCAGTTTAACTCCTCTCTCCAATTTAAATAGGAATTCTATGCTGGTTGAACTGGTGTAACAATTCAAGTCCACTAGTAGATATCTACAATTTTTACTGGTTAGTTATGGTTGTCAGATATCTACCGTTTCTTCTGGTTACTTATAGTTGTCACAGATTTTAATAGGGATTCTATGTTTGGTGGCTGTTGTAACAACTCAAATTTACTAGTAAATATCCACAGTTTCTACTGGTTACTTATGGTTGTCACCGGTTTTAATAGGGATACTATGTCTAGTGGATATCCACAGTTTCTACTGGTTACTTATGGTTGTCACCGGTTTTAATAGGGATACTATGTCTAGTGGGCTGTTGTAACAACTCAAGTCCACTAGTAGATATCCACAGTTTCTACTGGTTACTTATGGTTGTCACCGGTTTTAAACAACTCAAGTCCACTAGTAGATATCCACAGTTTCTACTGGTTACTTATGGTTGTCACCGGTTTTAATAGGGATACTATGTCTAGTGGGCTGTTGTAACAACTCAAGTCCACTAGTAGATATCCACAATTTCTACTGGTTACTTATGGTTGTCACCGGTTTTAATAGGGATACTATGTCTAGTGGGCTATTGTAACAACTCAAGTCCACTAGTAGATATCCACCGTTTCTACTGGTTACTTATGGTTGTCACCGGTTTTAATAGGGATACTATGTCTAGTGGGCTGTTGTAACAACTCAAGTCCACTAGTAGATGTCCACAGTTTCTACTGGTTACTTATGGTTGTCAGATATCCATAGTTTCTACTGGTTACTTATGATTGTCGTTGGATTTAATAGGGATTCTATGTTTGGTGGGTGGTTGTAACAACTTAAGTCCACTAGTAGATATCCACAGTTTCTACTGGTACTTATGGTTGTTACCGGTTTTAATAGGGATACTATGTCTGGTGGGCTGTTGTAACAACTCAAGTTCACTAGTAGATATTCGCAGTTTCTGTTGATGCTTCGCGATTTTATCTCTCCCATTTAAATAGGGATTCAATGCTCTGTTTGGTCGAAGTGGGCTCGTTAGTAGATATTATCAACTTCTACATGTATGGTCGTCAGCCTAACGATTTTATCTCTCATATTTAAATACGAATGTTATGCGATATGTGTTGGTAGAAGTGGGCTTTTGTATCAACTCAAGCCTACCGTCGCTAATAGATATTATTTGATTCTACTCGTTACATAATGGTCGTCACCCTCATGATTTTATCTCTCTCATTGAAATAGAGATTCTATAGCTTATTTGGTCGGAGTGAACTTTTGTAACTACTCAAGCCCACTATTAGTAGATATTGTTAATTTTTGCCCGTTATGTATGACATTTAGCATCACGATTTCAAAACACTATTAGGGAGAGGTTTCTAAATTTTATAAGTAATGATTTGTTCCCGTCTTCAACCGACGTATGATTTCTCAACCCACTTGAATTAAATTAACCTCTCGAGCTTGAACATTATAAGACATTGAAATCTTTTACTATTATGAACACTAATCTTAACTCTTTCTTGTATTCTTTGATAAGAGATCGAATATAAATTATAGATTCAAAACTTATTTAAATATTTTAAAAATTTTAATGATATATTATTAGATATAAATTCGACAATAAGAATTTACATAAATGAAACTCTATTTGAATTATGCAATTCTATTATTGGCAAATGAATTATACAAATTTAATTGGAAAAAAAAAAGAAAACAAAATCATATCAACTACCAATGGTTTTTCTACACGTCACCCTGCACAGAAAGTAAACCACCTTATGCCACGTGTACCGCCACCATTGGCTCATCTAAATTAATTGCGAACGGTCAACTTCCAGCTCATCAGTTGAAAAAAAGATACGTTAAATTACCACCACCGGACGGAAGCCGACCAGTCAACTTCACCAGAAAAGGACAAAAGACCGCCGCAGAACCCTATACATCCACCGCCGACTTCACCGGAGCCGGCACGGCAGCGAACCGTTCGGAGAAGTTCTTAAACCCACCGTTGCACTCCTCCTCTTCGAAATCCACATTGCCGTTATTTCCCTCGTCGAAATTCAAAGCGTAACTGATGGGATCATACTGGAATTTCCCAAGCTTCACGGCAGCGGGCCGGTTCCGGTTGAACCGACGAATGAACGTTTTCCATCTCGGACCGGCGACGATCTCGGACCATTCACGAAGCTTCTTGACAGATCTAACTCCGCCGGTCCACCAGTGATCCTCGCTGTCTAAGGTGGCTTTCGCTCTCGCTCTCGCTCCTGCCTTCGCCCGTTCCCACCAGGAAATCTCGTCGGAAACCGACCGACGAGGTCCGAAGCAAGGGAAGCATAAGCAATTATATCGTCCGGAGACCAAATGAGCATCGGCGCCGCCGATTTCTCCGGTGGACTCCGGTTCTTTGAAAGCTCCGTCACGGTCTCCCATGGCCGCAAATTAAGGATTCACAATCGGAATAGCGCTATGTATATAGAGCCAATGGGTTTGAAGAAAGAAACAATGGGTGACCGGAAACCGCCAGTAAAGTGGTGGGGTCCAGTGTTTGTTATCCGGTAGTTGGATGATCGAGCACTAAAGAGTAATTATTTATTTTAGGAAAAAATGGAAAAGCGAATTTTTTTCTTTAGAGTCGTTGTGGAAGGTGGGGTATGATCTGGTGCTTCGCAAACAGAATGAGATAGTACAAAAAGGGTGGGGTCAGGGATGAGCTGGCAAGCGTTGATTTGGGGTGTGGGGGCCCACTTAGGGAATCCAATTTTAGGTGGCGCTGCTATCCACCTACTAATATTCACTCTTTATTTTTGTATATTAAATTAATACAAAAATAATTGTGTCTTATCTTGAAAAATATTCTTTAAACCTTTTTAAGTTAATACTTTTTAATTAAAAAAAATTAAAAAATATATAATTACTTTAATCCGAACTTTTAAATGCCTTTAAAAAATAATTTTAAATTTTTAAATAAAAATATTATTAACACTTTTCAAAATTTTAAAATTTAAAAACTATAAAAGATATTTTTAAAATTTTGATTTTATTAAAACTTTTAAAAGTTTAAGAATATAAATTTAAATAAATACGTGTTTGAATTTTATTTCAATTTAAATAAAAAGTAAAAGATTCTTATTATTAGTGTACACTAAGTCAAAACTCTTACTTATAGGTTTATATGCAATTAATTATAGGTAAAATATTATATTATATTTTACATTTTTTAAAAATTATACCATATTAGTCTTTAAAAGATTATTTAAAATGAATAATGTTTTCTTTTTAAGAAAATATATAAATAAAATTTTAATTCCTTCAATGGGTCGTCCCTTAACAAAATTGAATACTAACATAAGTTAAGATATTCACAGTATGCCTCAATTCGAACATGTAATGTAGTCTCAGGAGTTAATGGAGCTCGAACAGGTCAAGAACTACGATCGAGGTTTTTGGTTTAAGCTCTCTGAAGTGTCTACGGTGCATCACCCATTTTGAATGTCCCAATATTTGGATATCTACCATAACTTTGTATCATTCCAACATAAATCTAGAGAATCACAGTATGTCTCAACTCGAACATGTAATGCAGTCTCAAAAGTAAAGGGAACTCGAACATGTCAAGAACTACTATTGGGGTTCTTGGTTTAAGCTCTTTTAAGTGTCTATAGTGCATCACCCATCTTGAATGTCTCTGTATTTAGATCTCTACCATAACTTTGAATCATCTGTTAGATACATTGTAATTTACCCGACATTCTCGATTTCTGTAAAAATAAATAGAGAATTTTGCAGAGATGAGATCTTGTTGGGATAGGGTGGAAGAACGGTGGACATATGTATTTGAGGATGATCATTTAGATTTGGGACAAGTAATTGAAAAAAAAGAACAAAATAAATAAAGCAAATGGAAATAGTTGGATTCGAACACAAGAACGCGACGCAGATTGGGTTACGACCTGATAGTTAGGGCTAAATATCCATCTTCTCAATCACCAGATTTCTTCAGCTGGTTCAGTTTTTTTTTACTCTCTCGACATTCTGTCTTGCATCCACCTCCCAGTAGAACGAAGGTAATGATCTTTACTGTTCATCTTTAAAATCTACCTTCTTTCAATTTTACGATTTTTTTTTTTTGTTTAGATCTAGAATTTTCTCTGGAGTTCTTGAGTAATTCTATTCGCAGTCGCATACTTCAGATCGGATGTACTGATTCGATGTGTTTTGCTATTTCCATCTCTTTATCCCACTTATGAACGAAGAAGTTTTCGATTTTTCATGATATTTGTTTATCTTTGATGATATCGATACATGCTTTTGTGAGATTCTGCAAAATACGTGACCAATAAGACCTTCATTAGTTTTTTTTTGTACTCTTGGTTCCTTGTGTGATTCGCATCTTACATTGGAAAAAATTAGGTTCAGTAGGTTTCACTTTGTTATTTGAATGCAAGTTCTTCATTTATAACCTGGCGTCTGATTTATAAATCTTTTTTTTTACTGATTAATGGGATGTATTGCTGATTTTTGTTGAATTCTACATCCTTATACAGTTCAAACTTTGTGATGGCAACTGAATCCAAAACCGCTACTGAGGAAGTTAAGATTGATCTCTTTGAAGATGATGATGAGTTCGAAGAGTTTGAGATTAATGAAGGTATGGTTTATGATCTTACTACTTTCTTTCTTAATTCCTCCAAGTTCTTTACTACTGGTTCCACACTTCCAGCGTATATTATTTTTCATACATGGTTTCCCGACGTGCAATCAATAATGGTCTGGGTGTGATTTTGATTGATAAATTGTGGTCTTGGTTTCTTTGTTTCTAAATTCTAATTTTTAGATTCAAATAAAGGGGGAGAGAGATAGAGAGAGGCAAAATCCTTTTGCTGTTTAACAATTTCTAATTGTTGTAGACTCAAATGGTGGATATGCATTGATCTTGATATGCTCTCAAGGAAAGAAATAGAAATTCATGTTTTATAGATTGAGATGCGGGTGACGAAGCATGTTTTTTGTTGCTTGATTGGAAAATTTTGATGGGCAATACATCTGTGCTTTGAGGGAAAGAGATTAGAGGCATAAGGCCATGGATAAGACCATGGTTGAACCATCATTTTTCATGGTTTGCAGTTGATCCGTTCCATTATGTTTTAGAACGTGGTTAGAGTCGATGATTATCAATTGGAATGTGGTTAAAGGGACTTCCATATTCCGGGAGCAATAAGATATCTTCAAATTAAGCATCCAAATCATATGACTGGTCACTTGATGACATCTCATCTAGTTCTTGGACCCTTGAACTCTACTTATCCTTATACATAAAAAGCTAGAGTGATGTGGAAATGTTGGAGTTGTTTATAGATACGTAGCATTGTGAATAATTGTGCTCGAGATAGCTATGTTTGTCTCTTGATCTGTATATATTAAGTCCTTGTACGTGTCCATTTTGCTCGATATCTCCAGTTAATTTTTCTCCGAATTTTTGAACTCCACATAGATGTGTCATTGCTGGTGCCTTGGACTCTCGCTTGTGGCTTAGTAAGATCATATGTCTGCTCATTTCATTTTCACAATTAGAACATTACATGTCTTGAGCTCTTGAAGGATGTATGTGCTAAAGTTGCTGACTGACGTGTAGTGTCTTGATAATAAAATTGCTTGTAAAGGTTGGAAGTGATGTATAGGCATGCTAACGTGAATAGATTGTTTCGAGTACCTTCATCACTTAAGAACAAAGTGGTTAGAGACAGAAAGAGACAGAGCTTCTCGTTCAGGCACTTACTTTTTAACGGTTCTGGCAGTTAGTTACTGGGTTGATTTTCATACAAGTGAAGCACTGTGATACTCTCTGATGTGTGTCTAGCCTAGTAAATCGATTCTAATCACAAGTAACTTGAGCTCATTTCTCAGAGACCTCTCTCTTAGATGCTGATGTAGAGCTTGTTACGCGCAGCTTCTTGTTCATCCTCTCTCTCCTCTCCCTCACTGATAAAAAAAGAAAAACGAATCTGCTTCTTGATCTTTATGGGTTTGATAGAAATTTGGTTCCAATAGATATACTAATCTAAGCATTCTGTTATCATAGACGTTTCTGATGTTATTAACGATCATGTCAATGACAGAGTGGGAAGTCAAAGAAGAAGGGAAAGAAATTACTCAGCAGTGGGAAGACGACTGGGATGACGATGATGTCAATGACGACTTCTCGTTGCAGCTTAGGAGAGAATTGGAGAGCTATACCGAGAAGAAATGAGAAGAAGTTTTGTCCTTAAATGTTTTCATCTTCAAGATCTCATGTTTTAACCAGGTCTTTTGATCCCATGTACATGATGGTATTATGAAACATTCTTAGGAGCCTAAAACATTGTTACCTTTCAGATCAGAACATTGGAAAATCGAGACGTTCGGCACCAAAGAAAACTTCATTTTCTTGTTGGCACGGAACATGATCTTCGTTCACGAATCTTGCTATGGTTTGCTTGAGATTTATAAGATGTTTCGTTCTGAATATTGGCAGGAATAGAAAACTAAGTTTGTACGTGGTGGTGCACTTTTATTGTTTTCCTTCAAAGAACACATGATGAGTCGACCAATTCTCTCGAGGATCAACAGATTTGAAATCCTTCTTTCTTTTGTATTCTTCTTTCTTTGGGTCTAGACCTGGCATATGTCTGTGTATACTGGTATCTACCCCTTCGATGTACATGACCATCGACAACCACGGTACATCTTGTTCTCGTGTTTGAGAATTCAATGAACATCGTGACATAGTCTTTACCACAAGAAAGATGTATGATTTGAGATTCGTTCTTCATCACATCTTAATAGGAAGAGACGTAAAAAAAAAAAAATCACCATTGTGTTTGAGATGGTTACAATAGATTTTGGAGGTAAAAAGAAATTGGGTCCTTTTTAGATACGAGAAATGGATAAAGTTGCAATGCTCGATAATAGAGGAGGTGAATATTTAGAACGAGAATTGGGTCCTTCTCAGATATGAGAAATGAAGAAAGGTGTAATGCTCGATAATAGAGGAAGTAGGTAAATGTTTAGAACGAGAATAAATTGGTCCTTCTCCGATTTGAGAAATGGAGAAAGATATAACGGGATCCGACAACAACAAATAGATTATTCAAATCTCTTGCCCAAGAAACTCAGCCATAAATTCCACAATCTCCCAAGTTCATCCCCTTCATATATTACAAAAGTAAATTATTAAAAAAAAAAAACCAAAAAAACAAAGAAGAAAAATATTCGACAACAATCCCCACCCACAAGAAATTCTCCATTAACCCCACTTTCCACCCTTCTTCTTCTTCCCTCTTAGCCGCTCCCCTTCCTCAAATTCTCCAACTGTGAGCTCCACCCCACTTACAGACAGGCGGCGGCCCTTCTTCTGAACTTCATCTCCCTCCGGCCACCGCACCCGGCGGAGGAAGTGGGTGTCACTTGTCAGCTAAACTTGATTGAACAAACAAAAAAAGCATACCCTTTTCATCCTTATCTTATAAAGGGTCATTTTGGTGCTCCAAAACCAAGCCAAATTTAGGAACAGCAGCGCAAGTTCTGCAAATTGGGCAAATGGGTGTCTTCAAAAGCCATGAATCTATGCACTCAACATGGAAGCTATGCCTGCAATTGGGCAGCAACCTGCATCTTTCCCCTGTTTTGAAGCCCTCCAAACAAACAACACATTCCAAATCAACGCCATTTGTGCTCTGTTTCTCCCCTGATTTGTACTCATAACATGGAAGCTTCTCCAAATCCTGATTTGAAAGGTTCTTTCCCAAATTGCTTCTCCAAATCCCTTCCCTTTCTCCTCTGAAAGCTCTCCCCACAATACACACATGAATCACTACCAGAACAGCGATTCCGACCAGCAACAGAACCGCCGACACCACAATCTCCATAACCATAGTACTTCAATTGAAAAACCAACCAACCAACTAACCAACCCCAGAAGCTTCAAAAGGCTGAAAGGTTTTGTGGGTCTGTTCTTGTGTGTTTGAATGTCTCTGTCACGTATAGAAATCACTCATCTTGGATCTTCAAGATTACACCTTTTGCTTTGTTTTATTCACAAAGAAAAGGGCTAGAGAGAGAGAGGAATTTGGCAATGAAAGAGAGTTCTTGTGGCTTTGTCTTTTTTTGGGTCACAAATTTCTCGAACACCCTTTTGAAAGTTCTTTCGTTTGGATCATTTGAGAGCAGTTTTCACCTCAGGAAATTCAAAAAAGACAGACAGTGAGAGCAATTGACAACGAATGTCCATCAGCTGCTTCTGAGTAGAAGAATGCCATCCCTTTAAGGTATCTTAGAGAGGTGAGAACATAAAAGTTTTGATTTATAATACCATGGTGCAAAAACTTGAATCTCTACTCTCACGTGTTGTTAAACTAAAAAAAATCCTTAAATGAAGAGTAAAAACTAACTCTTTAAAGTCGACGACATTCTATGGTGAAGTCAATGTCTTATTATTGAACAGGTAAGTTAGCTACTTTTGTGTGAGATCCTACATCAGTTGAAGAGGAGGACGAAAGACCATTTATAAGGGTGTGGAAACCTATCTCTCTAGCGGACATGTTTTAAAAGTTTGGAGGGAAAGCACAAAAGGAAAAACCTAAAAAAAACAATATATGTTAGCAGTGAGCTTGAGCTGTTACAAATGGTATCAGAGCCAGACACGAGGCGGCTGAGCCCCAAAAAGGGGTAGACACGAAAGAGTGTGTCAGCAAGGACGCTGGGCTCCAAAGGGGAATGGAATGGGAGTCCCACATTAATTGGAGAAGGGAACGAGTGCGAGCAACAACGCTAGGTCTCGAAGATGGGTGAATTGTGTGATCCCACATTGGTTGGAGAGGAGAACGAAACACCGTTTATAAGGGTATGAAAACCTCTCCCTAGCATACTCGTTTTAAAAACATTGAAGGGAAGCTCGAAAGGAAAAAATTAAAAAGGACAATATCTACTGTCCACAACGGATTGGAATAGTCTTTTCCCACCCCAAAATTGTGTAAGAACATAAAAAGAGGTATACAAAGAATTGGATGCCAAATTGAAGTGTTACATAGACAACAAACCATTACTCATAGCCCCACATGAGATGAAGTGATTGGAAAAAGACAAGTGGACGTTTTTAATTGTAAATTAGGAGAATCTAATCATGTGTACAAAGTCCTATGATTGAGAGAATCCAATCATTAATTTATTACATCCAAATTTTGATTGTCATTGGATTATTGTCTCTTTAGCCATTAGGGCAAACAACTGGATCATACATTTTTTTAAATTTATATATATATATAAATAGTATTGGGTTAATCTATGTTCTTAGTTTTGGGCTTTAATGATGTGATATTAATATAGTTAATAATCGAGATAGAAATATAAGCTGACTGTTAGCAGATATTTTATGTTTTGGTTTGTGACGTATCGTTGTTAGTCTCACGGTTTTAGAACGTGCCTGTTAGGGAGAAATTTTCACACCTTTACAAGGAATGTTTTGTTTCTCTCTCTAACTGATGTGAGATCTCATAACCCACTTCTCTTGAGGGCCAGCGTTCTCATTAACACACCGTCTAGGTTCTGGTTCTAATACCATTTGTAACAACTTAAGCCCATCGCTATCAGATATTGTCCGTTTTAGTCTATTACGTGTCGTTGTTAGCTTCATGATTTCAAAATGTGTCTTCTATGAAAATGTTTCTACATTTTTACGAGAAATATTTTATTTCTCTCTCCAATTTATTTTATTTTTAAAAAAAGATTTTGCATTTTTTATTACGAAAACATTAAAATTTCCTAATTTAAATAGTAGCGTTAGTATGATGGAACAATTCCAACTAAAATTTTAGAAAATAAAAAAACTCAGCGGTTCGTGAGTTATAACTTTTTTAGTCGGGTCAACTCAACCAACCTGGAAATAAGGTTTACATCTCAACTCAACCCTATCCTAATTTTAAGATTTTTATGCGTTATGACTTGTGAATGTTTGATATTTGAATTTTATGAAAAATTTAGTTATTAATGTAGCGTATATGTGACTAAGTAGAATTTTTTAAAATAAATTTTTAAAAGAATAAATAACTCGACGACCTAATCCAATCCAACTCGAACCAAATTTTGGGTTAGTTGAGTTAGTGACCCGAATAACTAAATAGCGCTCACAACCCTACCAAATTCAAATCAACCCGGGTATACCCTAAATTTTAGTTAAGGATTCCACGAAAGTAATAAAAAAAAAAAAAAGGATATTTTTCATATTATAAGGCAAACTACGGTAGCCAAGGGTTAAACGTTTTTTTTACCTATTCACTTCTTTGTCCGTTAAAACATAAATATATATGCATATGCCTTCGATTAAAAAGTCCGAGACGTGAACTCCTTTACCCTACATGTCCTTAAAACCCTAAAAAAATGAACATTTTGCTTCTTTATCTAAACCTTGAACCCTAAACTCTAAACCCTAAAACTCTAAAAGTGTGAAACCCTAAACCCTAAACCCTCCTTAAAACCTTAAAAAAAAAAAAAAGTAACCATTTGCATTTTATCTAAACCCTAAACCCTAAACCTTAAAACCGTGAAACCCTAAACCTTAAAACCGTGAAACCCTAAACCTTAAAACCGTGAAACCCTAAACCTTAAAACCGTGAAACCCTAAACCCTAAACCCCAAAACGGTGTAACTCTAAACCCTCCTTAAAACCCTAAAAAAAAAATTGACCGTTTTCTTCTTTATCTAAACCCGTGTAACTCTAAACCCTCCTTAAAACCCTAAAAAAAAAATTGACCGTTTTCTTCTTTATCTAAACCCCAAACCCCATAAACCCTCCTTAAAACCCTAAAAAAAAAATTGACCGTTTTCTTCTTTATCTAAACCCCAAACCCCAAACCCTAAAACCTAAAACCCAAACCCTAAAACCTAAAACGGTGAAACCCTAAACCCTAAACCCCAAAACCGTGTAACTCTAAACCCTCCTTAAAACCCTAAAAAAAAAATTGACCGTTTTCTTCTTTATCTAAACCCCAAACCCCAAACCCTAAAACCTAAAACCCAAACCCTAAAACCTAAAACGGTGAAACCCTAAACCCTAAACCCCAAAACCGTGTAACTCTAAACCCTCCTTAAAACCCTAAAAAAAAAATTGACCGTTTTCTTCTTTATCTAAACCCCAAACCCCAAACCCTAAAACCTAAAACCCAAACCCTAAAACCTAAAACGGTGAAACCCTAAACCCTAAATGTCCTTTTTAGATATCCAAATGCTAATACCCATCACAAAAACTCCTAAAATTAGCCTCCAAAAACCCTAAAACAAGAAAAAAAAAATCACTTTAATCCATGTTAGTGAGTAACTAATCGACAATTAAGGAGGTAAAAAGTTAAATTATCACCCAAAATGTGACTTTATCTTCAGTCAATTACCACAGTTATTCACGTTTGGCCTTGAAAAAGCTTCAACCTTTATAACCCCAACTCCTAAATTTAGTCACTCTCTTCCCTCTCTTTACACATCTATTCATATATACATACCTACAAACATGATCATGTTCTTAAAGAAACATTGTTTTTTTCTTACATTTTTTCCTTAAACCCACCAAAAAAAAAAAACAGCAAAAAAGACAATCATAGATGAGTTGCATCCTTATTCCTTCTGTATCGGTCGTTTAGATCTTCGTTTTTTCTCGTTTTTATGTTACAATGGTGTATACAGATACAGCCAGAACAGTCATCGGAATCATAGGTGAAAAACTTTAATCAAATCATAATCATAATCATAATCTTCAATCACTAATCTATATGATTAACGTTTGAATTTGTAATTATGTTTATTTTTCAGGAAATGTCATCTCATTTGGTCTATTTACTTCTCCAATGTAAGCTTTAGTTTGAGTTGTTTATTCAAAATGATCGGTAAAAATTAAGGTTTCTGAAAGAAGCAGCTTTACCGAGATTCTAAGAACTTACTTTTAACTTTTTGGTGCATGCAGCCCCACATTCGTTGCGATAGTGAAGCGCAAGAGCGTGGAAGATTTCAAGCCTGATCCTTACCTAGCCACCATCCTCAATTGCGCTATGTGGGTATTGTATGGAATGCCCTTTGTTCATCCTGATAGCATCCTCGTCGTTACGATCAACGGGATCGGGTTTTTTATCGAGATTTCTTACCTTTCGATCTTCTTTATCTACTCTCCGTGGGTCAAGAGAGTACGTAATCTCGATCTAAACCAAATATTTTATCGTAATTTTACGTTGCATGGCTTTGTTTTCTCATGCAATTTTGTTTTGCAGAGGAAGATTTTGGTGGTTCTTTTGATTGAAACTATCTTCTTCTCCATTATCCTTCTCATTACCCTCTTTGTTTTCCATAACACCACGAGTAGATCTTACTTCATTGGTGTAATTTGTATTATCTTCAACATCGCTATGTATACGTCTCCGTTGACTGTCATGGTACGTCCTATCGAGCTACTACATCCCGAGCTAACTTGTTTTTGTTCTTGAAATTTTTGCTCAAATCTCGAGCTTTGTTTCATTTTTAGCGAATGGTTATCAAAACGAAGAGTGTTAAGTATATGCCGTTCACTCTCTCGCTTGCCAACTTTTGTAACGGTGTCGTTTGGGCCATTTACGCCCTTCTGAAATTCGATCCCAACGTGTTGGTAAGTAAGCCGCTCCAATCCCTTGACCTACCGTAAAAGGTCAACATCTCGTGAGTTGACTTTTTTTTTTTTTTTTGGTTCAGATTCCAAACAGTTTGGGAGCTCTTTCTGGGTTGATACAGTTGATTCTGTATGCAACTTATTACAGAACGACAAACTGGGACGATGATAACAGGTCGTCTACCAGGCAAGAAGTTCAAATGAGCGACGTGTAGTTTTGGGAGGTGGATGAAATTGGAGACATGCAGCGAAGTC